AAAAAATAAAAAATAAAAAAAAAAATTTAAAAAAAAAAATAAAGTCACAAAGGTGTAGAGGTCAGTGTGAGCTTCCATACTGTGACCTTTCACATGCTGTGAGGATCATATATCCTTCTCTAGATGTCCAACTTCTAATATGTGCTAGATTTAAAAAGACAGTAGAAGAATGTTACTTGGCTTTCAAAAAAGAAAATAAAATTTGATTTGCACACAAATAAATAATTCAAAAGAATGCTATATAAATTTCCCTTAAATAAAAAGCACTTAAAAACTATACACATTCATCCATTGCTACTTAAAAAGATCACTATAGGTAAGCAGCAAGAACAAACAATTCACAAATACAATTATCCCATAAGTATGAAAAGTGCTTAGTTAAAACATAACATAAAGCCAAATAAATCTACAAATTCACTTTTTAAAAGTATTCTTTGTGGGGCTGGTCAGACAGCTCAGCAGACTAAAGTGCCTACTTAGGCCAGGATCTGATTCCTGGTGTGCCAGCCCTGCCCCTGGGGCACGCTGAGACAACAACTGAGACTGGGCGTGGTGGCAAGTGCCTATAATCCCAGCACTTGGGAGGCTGTAAGCAGGAGGATCACTATGAATCTGATCTACATAGTGAGTCCCTGTAGGCCCTATACTACATACGTTAAAAAAAAAAAAGTATTCTTTGTTGTGGTGGTGGTATTTTTTGCTTAAAGGGATAACTGTCAAGTTTAACACAATTATAGCACAATAATCATAATTGCAATTAAAAATTTAGAAGTTCCTGCATATTGGTAAAAGAACAAGTTTGCCAGTAGACAACAGGGCAGCTCATGATTTTATTTTCTTTTTTATACACTTTGAATTTTTCCCAAACACTCTAAGATATACATTCAGGAAAGCAGTGTTTTAACTGTTAAAATAAAGGGCAGCCACAGCAGCTCCTTACCCGGGCCCTCTCTGAGGCAGGCACTCCAGGATGTCATAGCAGAGAGCGAGCTGGTCGCTACGTGTGCAGCTGTAGATGCACTCGAGCGCTGTGGCCATCAGCTGGTTCTCATCAGGGATAATTTTCTGTGGTAGCTAGTGTCAAAGAAAGCACACTGTACTGAATGCCAGTGGATTCAGTCTCCCTAGCCAAGAACTGCTGTCAGTAGAATATTAAATACTGCAATGAATCAGCCACAGAAACAAATTTTATTTTTCTTTAGTTTACAGACCTTGGGGTCTTTAATAATTCTAAATGAAATCACCCTTTAATTAAAGAATCAGCTAGAAAAGACCATTTGTAACCCATAGCTCTGCATCTGCTGAAAACACTCAATTTATGACCCACTCAAGATAAAACAGGAAAAGCACAATGAATTCAAAAGGCAATTCATTAAAAACACTATTTCTAAGCCTAAAGCCAAATTCTGTGTTTCAATTACAAAAATACATAAAATTCTTTAACTAATATTCAACAATATTAGAACCTATTACTTTTTCAGTATGCAATATATAGCACTCATTTAACAACAAAGGGCTGACATTCCATCCAAAACAAGCCCAAGTGGGACTCAGTATGACACAAACCACAGAAAGTACGCTATGTTCTGGTGCACAGAGGTGGCTACTTCTGGCCACATTTTATATTAAATATTGCATGCACTCTCCCCTTGAAAACCACAGATTCCTAACCTGGGAAGCATTTTCTCAGATATGAAAATAACCAACTGGTGCTCTGTTTTTCTCATCTATAATTCCAAAATATTAACAATGCCACCCTCAGACAGTGACTGAGGATTAACTTAATACTTATGGCATCCTCATGTTTTGACCAGAGAAACTAAAACAGAAGCTCAAAACTGCTTTCGTACAGCTCTTTCAACAGCAAAGTGAGTTTAAGATAATTTCTGAGATTATTATCTACTGGATATTTGCATTTTGACAGAAATTCACGATACACATAAAATACAAAAGTGACAGAAATCAACAAAGTCATTTCCTTAGAAGAATCACAGTAATGGATGTAAATGAAAAATACTGAAGGTTACTACATAAATAAAGCAGCCAGGTTAAGGATTTAGATACATGGCTTCAAGGTACTAAGAAAACAGCCTTAACTTAGCACTAGCATTTGACAAAGAGGTGAGCAGGGCTGCAAAATGAAGACAAGTCACATAGCAAAATAAGTTGTTAAAAATTCTTACAAGGGCTGGTGAGATGGCTCAGTGGTCTAAAGCACCTACTTAGAACAAGCTTAGCAAAGCACAAGGACCGCGGTTCAATCCCCCAGCACCACATGCCAGTCAGCCCCGCCCCCTGGTGGGCTGAGCTGGTCACACACAAATAAATAAATAAATAAATAATTCATACAAGATAACTTCTTATTTTGTGCTAGGTTCCATTCCTAAGTGCTATGCTTGTATTAACTTTTAAATTGTCATAACAACCCTGCAGGACTAACTCCAGTATTATTCCCACTTTACATGATGGGGAAACTGAGGTGCTGAGAGGTCAAGTGCTCAAGCTGCTGCAAGCACTAAATGGCAAAGCCAGGGCTGACATCCTTCAACATGGGCTCTCTGGTCCCTGGAAAGAGTCCAGACAGGCTGCCTGAAGAGACTGAGTGAGCGTGGGGATGAACACACATGTGGTAAGGAGGCACCAGCTCACATGAACCCTGAGCACCAGTTTCAGTCACAGGGACTGGGAAACCAGCTGAAGCACGAGCGAAAGCCCTTGATGTTTCACTCCATCTCCCTGATCCCTGGCTTTCCCTTTCCGAGACAGACATTAAAGGCCCTCTTTCAAGCCTGATTCCCAGAGTCTGCATTTGATCATGTGTGCTCAAAGCCTTCTACTGAAAACCTTTTAGCAGCACTTCCAGGTACAAGGGAATGAAGGGGACACTCCCTTGCCTCCACGCAAGCTCTCTGATGCTGCACACCAGATGACTCCTGTGTCCCGTGAACCACTTACCCTACCCCATTTATGTCACCTACATTAAATTGCAGTCATCACTAAGCACCTGAGGAAATTGGTCCCTGGATCCCAGTGGACACCAAATCTACAGATGCTCAAGGGCCTTGTATTCATATAAAATGGCATAATGTTTGCATATTACTGATACACGCCCTCTTATGTACTTCATTTCTTCTACATTATTTAAAATATCTAGCACACTGTAAATGCTATTTACGTAATTGTTATACTGTATTGTTCAGGAATGTGACAAGTCTGTAAGTTTTCAATATAAACACAATTTTTCCTTCAAGTATTTTGAATCCGGGTTCAGTAAAACAACAGTTGGTTAAGTCAAAGAATAAAAAAACTAAAGCCATGAAGGGCTGACTGTAATTCCACTCACCTAAATACTATGGGAGTAATCACAAATATACGCATACCTAAAACGTCTTCTCAAGAAATTGGCAACCTCCCCAAATCCACCGAATAATTAAATTTTAACTCCATTTCATTTTGACTTCAACTGGACTTTCCCAGATTTCTGTGATCCTGTGTATATGTTCCACACATTCTAGTCAATAAATTAATCTTTTTCTATCCTCATGCATGGAGCCTTTTCCCCTGTATTCCTATAGTACTAGCTCATGCCAGCTTATGCCATTCAGCATATTGTTCTGATACAATCTGTGGTGTATAAGAACTATGACACTCAGACTCACAGCATACTTCTCACCTGCGCCTGCATGATGCCTAACTGTATAGCTACCACACAGTGCCCCTTAGTTTGATCAGTCCTATCCTAGTATCCTGTGGGTGGTCTCTATTAAACCATTATCTGCCCTTCCTGAGCCATACGGAGGTACCTGCTCTCCTGGGGCTTTCAACAGTCTGGCTACACGGGTCTCTTGCATCATGGATAGCATACTACCATCCATACCAGACACCACAAGAAATGCAAATGAATCGTAATTTAGAAAAGTGAAGTCTTAAAACTGAGCATTATAGACATACAGAAAAGAATGGCAGATGATAAGACAAGAAATAAAAGAAGGAGCAAGGGGCCAGGCAGACAGCTCAGCAGCATAAGCACCTGGCTGGCAAGTGCAACGCCCTGAGTTCAATCCCCAGGACCAGAAGGAGGAAGAAGGAGGAAGAAGGAGGAAGAAGACGGAAGAAGGAGGAAGAAGACGGAAGAAGGAAGGAAGGAAGGAAGAGAAGGAGGAGGAGGAGGAAGAGGAGAAGGAAGAAGGAAGAAGCAGCAGCAGCAAAACGACATAGAATCAGCTTTCATACACAGAAATAAAGAGTGACAGGAGATGAGCGGGGAGAGCTCCATTTATAGCAGAATTCTTATAATGAAACAGGAATAAATTTTAAGAAATGTGCCAAACCCATAAGAAAAATTTTAAATTTTCCTGAAAAACATTTAAAAGCACACAGAAAAATGCAGTAACATCTCCTATGCTTAAATAAGGTGACTAAACATTATAAGCTCAACATGCAGAACTTATATCACAATAAAATATCACAATAAAATCACAATAAAAATATAAGAAAGTCAATTTTAGAATCAGACAAGCCTATACCAAAGTTCAGATAAAAAAAAAAAATCCAAGAATAGTTTCAAAATGATAAAAGTTAGGAAAAAATAACAAGGAAATGCTATCCTTATCTGACACTGAAACATGTTCTAAAATCTTTACAACTAAAATGGTATTGTATTATTGCCTGGATAGACAATCAGACCAGCATAAACACTCTCGAGTCAAATGTGTAACAACGGAAAATTGGGCACGTAACAAAAGTGGCATCTTCAGCAGCTCAGGCAGAGAGAAGCCCTCTAAGAAACAGTGCTGGGACAGCGGGGCAGCCATTTGCAAGAGGTGCTGAATATCATCAAAGTTAGTCAGTTGAAGACATTGTGCGATCAAACTAGGCCCACCTGGACACTTGGGAAATCTCCAGCCACTTGGTATCACCTAGGTGCATGGTCCCTTTGGGCAGGAAAAGTACACTGTAACAGGTTCCGGGATTAAGCTGTCAGTGTTTGGGGGGTCGTTATTCTCACTACTGCAGTCAGACTTTATAATTCAGAATAAAAGACAGTAAGCCAAGTGACAATTGCACTGGAGCCTTCAAAGGCAGCACTCGTGTCACGTCTGTCCTCCGCGCACGAGCAGCAGCCTGCAGCCCTGAGCTGCTGCCCCTCGCGCACCTTACACCACCTCCCCTTGCGCACCAGTATGGGCTGCACGCGCGCTGTGCACTTCTCGTCTCCTCGTCACTACGGTCTGCCTGCTATTTTCCTGATCAGTTATAAGGCTGGCTTATTTTTTCTCATTTCTACTACACTTCCTGAGTACAATTTCCCCACTCTCAGATCTACTTTAATTTTGGATATTTCTTTCCCCATGAAGAACACGGGCAGATAATCTTTTAAGATGGAGCTGTAAAAGACAAACTCAGTTTTCATTTATCTTTAAAAATATTCTATCTCTTGGTTTTCCAATTTCAGCTCTTCCCTAAACTGTGTCATACACTGTTTTGAGTCGATCCAGTGAGGTGCCTGTTTTCACGACTTTTGGTTCTCTTTCAGATCTTATGCTCCTTTCCTCATTACTCCTCACACATCACAGCCATCTCCCTCCTGACGGCTTCAATCTGTGAAGATTCATTTCAGCTCACAGACATTGCCTGGCTTTTGTGGGAAGTTATTCTGCCGAGGACCACTGGTGTACAACGAAGCAGCTCGCTAATTCCTGATTCTCCTTGTGGCATTCCTTTCCCAGGAGTAGGTTTGCCACAACACAAGGAAGTAGGTTCAACTCGAATTTCAAGTGGGAGCAGCACTGAGGGTCTCAGACAGGCATGGCCGGCAGGCTACTGGGCAGGCCACAGACACAAAGTCAGGACCACGAGGCCTGTACCATCCTGCCTCGTGCCTTCCAATGGGAAAAAACAACAGTGCACACTGCCTGGCTCTGAATTTTGGTTTTTTGAGACGGGGTCTTGCTAATGGCCCTGACTGGCCCTGAACTCACTGCAGATCCCATGCCGGCCTTGAGCTCATGGCAATTTCCTGCCTCAGCCTCCTGAGTGGTGGGATGACAGGTGTGTGCTGCCATGCTTCACTGGGTTGTTTTATTAATGCTATTCTGTTTGAGACAGAGGGTCACTATGTAGTTCAGAGTAGCTTTAAACTTTCTATGGAGCCCAGGCTGGCCCCAAACTCACAGAGATCCTCCTTTCTCAGCCTCCCAAATGCCAGGATGACAGGCATGTGCTACCATACCCAGCTGTTTTAATGTTATTATGAATACACTTACATAAACCAGAAGACAAAATTATTCTGATGACTCAAATGATTTTCACAGCTCATTTCTACACATGATGCACGAGACTTAGCATTAAATCTTCACACCCCTTCAAACTAATGAACTGCAAGTGCTTTCATCTCTCAATTCTGCATGCACACCACCACAGGGTACCCCACAGCCAGCGAAAGGCCACACTACACCTACATGGACTTGAAAGGATGAGTCCATGTGCCAACACTCCACTTCCTGTAATTTAGGGAAATGTTACTCATGAACAATTAACACCATATATCCAGAAGCAAAGTTCAAATACATCATGTCTTACTGAATAACACTAATTATAAAAACATCTCCAAATATTTAAATTCCAGACTCTACCTCAGAGTAACATTGAATTCAAATGGTAACACTTTATTGTAGTTCTATTTAATAGTCACTAACAATTTTTCAATGTTAACATGAGATGCAAAATGCTCCTGAAAAAAAGAACAGCATGACAACCATTTTCTTTTAGTTTAAAGAAAAACCATTTACAATGCCTATCATAAAAATTTATAAGTGAACCTAATTCTGTCAAGAAAAACATGCCAAACAATTTGAGAAGCTGTGGTTTCTACTCACCTCTCTCTTGGAATGCTGAAATATCTTCAGGGGCAGCCGTAAGTCCTCCTTGGCTAAAGCTACTAGATACTCTCTCAGCAGCCTACTGGCCACGCCAGGGGAGTGCTTCTCACAGCGGTGCAGGAAGGGCACCATCCACTGGTAGGCGCTTGTCACGTAGCTGTCCTCAGAACACTGAAAGTGTAATTTAGCAAAGCAAACAGAATGGCATTAGGCTGTGCACCTTGCCATATCAGACAACCCAGCGATGACGACTCAGGAGAAACGACGGATGCTGAAGCACACAGAGGTGGCTCTGCACAGAGGTGCTGCAGAGCTGTCACCCTGGAGAGCAGGCGACCACAGCACCACAGCAGCCCTGGGCTCAGACAGGACCTGGGTCATGGTCCTCCACAGCCTGGGCTTGGCTCTGGAAGACACACACCACTGTCACTCCTCACACAAGGTCCCCAGAACAGAGAAACCCACCTAGACAGGATGTGGGGCACGAAAAAAAGAGAGACTTTGGTCAACAGAAAGCGTGGGAGAGAACAAGGCAGAGAGAGAAAAAAACCTGAAAGAGACAAGTAGAGACAGAGTCGCCCTTCCTGTCCTGCTTCTGTGCTTTGCTTTGCCCTTTGCCATCACCTTTATGATCCCCAAAACTGCACAATCACTTCTCAGTCACCCAAAGACACGCCTGACCTCTGCAGAGGAGGCAATACCAGCCCACTTCCGGGGTTTCAGGACAGGAGTGGAGGAGAACAAAAACCAAGGTGGGGCCCACCCTGGGCAGGAAGCTGTGAAGAAGGTGAGACAGTGAGGAGAGAGATGCAGAGGAGAGAGCGCAGGCAAGAGGCAGGAGTGGGACCAGGAAAGACAATCAGGGCCGAAGGGCATGACAGTGGCCACATGTGAAGTGCCCTTCACAATTTCTCCCTATCATTCAATTTGGGGAGAAAAATCAAAAAACTGTCCTTTATTTAACTAAGTTGTTGGGCTTGTAGGACATTTCACTTCTGGTTGGGGACATGTATTAAAGGACAGAGAACACTTAAAAACAAAGTATAAACCCACACTGCTCATGAGCAATCTCAGCTTCTCAATGTCTTCCATCCTCTGGAGTTCTTCCAAGGTCAGGGCTGCATCACAGCCTGCTTCATACACCAGCGTCTCCAGGGTAACCAGGTTGTCACACAGGAGCAGAAGCCCAGGGATCTGCCGCTCCATTCCAAGGCGAACCAACGACAGCGCACAGTCCACCTGCAAATGGAAGGACAGGGAGCTGGGCTGGTCTATTTCTTACACTCTGAAGATAAAGCTTCCAGGGGAGAGCCACCTCTTATTATAAAAACCCTTTACAGGTCACACGTCTTTACTTACTATAAAAAAGAATTCTTTGTCAAATATATTAAATTGTTTCAAAGGTAGAAATTGGAAGAAATACTGGCCATACCAATACTAAGGGAAAGTAATTCCATTCAATTTTGCTATAAGCCTAAAATACCTCTAAAAATAAATACAAGAACATAGAAAACATAATTTTTTAAAAGTGAGTTTATTTTGCATTCTAGGGTATGGTTCTTTTTCTTTCTGTTATCACAATTTTTTGAAAGTGAATAATGGTTCAAGTTTGGGTAACTGGATGCATTTGTAAAGTTTCTGCGCAGCACGTGACGCTAACTCAGACAACACCATGACAGGCCGCATGTGCCTATACAGTGCCTCACCACTCCCGCCGGAGATCCCTTGGTCAGCTGCTATCGGTGAGTTTCTCTCCCTTATAGGCGAAGTGCTGACACCTTGACTAAGGTAACTGAGGATGTACCCTAGGACTACTTTGCCAATGAGAACAGAATGGGTCACCAGGAGGCCCTGTGAAAGTCCAGACAGGCATCTGTGCTGGGATGGACATAGAGCCAGGGAGCAGGGTCAGCCCGCAGGCCGCGCCACCCAGGACACGAGAGGGCTGCTGCCCACCTGGCCTGCTTTCTGCTCACCTCTCAGACATCCCAAAACCTCACTCTTACCAGCAGAGTCCAGATCAACTTAATTTAACCATCCCACAAATTTCTTTCTGATGTGATTGAATTTACAGTAAATTTTCCTTTAATGTAGCTAATATATAAAGCAGAGGAAGATTTTACTTAGTTTTATTAAACATTTTAAACCACGCCTTAGTTGTTCACAACTCTGACAGCAATTTGTGGCATTTAATGTAACAACACACCTGAATCCATGTGTGATTTCACACTCCCTTCAAAGTGATGGCATGCTAACTTTATGGCCTTATGTGGCCTGGCCGAGCATGGACCTACTGTAGTTTATATATCCTGTATATTGAATTAGGTTATCCCGTTAATTCTTTGGAAATTAGTTCTGAAGATAAAACACAATATCTATGATTCTTACACTATGATAAAGAAAGCATTATAAGGCCAGCCAGATAGCTCAGCAGATTAAAGCACCTGCTTAGGAAGACGCAGGGACCAAGGCTTGGTTCCCTGTGTGCAGCGCTGGCCTCACCCCCGGGGTGCGCTGAGACGGTGACTGAGACTGCGCGTGGTAGCCATGGTGGCACGCCCCTGTAATCCCAGCACTTGGGAGGCTGAAAACAAGAGCTGCACTACAAATCCTATCTCTATAGTGACACCCTATAGACCCTGTACTAAATATATTATTTAAAAAAAAAAAAAGCATTATAAAATATTTGCTACAATGGGTCTTTTATACACTACAATGAAAACCACTCTCTCACGACATACACACTTTGCTCAAAGCCCCTGGTCTGTGCAGCCTATCTCTGTCACACAGGCTCTGCATGGCAATGAGGATCTCGCCTGGCCTGCCCAGGGTCCCTTATGCAGGGTTGCTCACCTTGTTTCTGAGGACCTTGGTTTATCTATACAAAACATAGATAAGTCAATATGGTTTTCTCTAAAGATTCTTTTCATTATACCTTAAGATCCTACATACTTTCCAATGTAGTATGGTCCTTACCCATCTCCAAAATTTTGGGACACCAATGAGAAATATTCTTGGCTACCACACAAAAAGTTTGGTCTAAAAAGGAAAAGTCACCTGCTGGCCAGACCTCAAATCAGACCTCAGAGTGCCTTCAGCAGTGCTGTGCTCTGTCACGAATCTCTGCTCTCCAAGAGGTGAACCTCAGCTTAACTTACAAAGCCTTCAATCAGCAGAACATCCAAGGCTCTTGAAAGTAGATGTCTTTTGTCCTCAACAGCTCTGGAACTGAACCCAACCCCATGAGAAAACCAAGGTAAAGAAGAAGACATCATCAGCCCCAGGCTCCCAGGTCCTTTAGGGCAAGAGTGAAGATCCGAGAACCCGGCCACCTTGGGCCCAGCCCACGTTGTCATTCTGAGTCACACCCAACTTGAACATTCTTATTAGGGACCTAAGTAAGGGACAGGACTGCCAGACAACAGACACAGTCCCAGAAAACAGCAGAAAAAGCTGTGAAAAAGGTTCATGAAGAACAAACCACAGGCAACTGAGCTGCCACACCCTCATGGGGCTGGTCAAGCATTTCTCTGTAGGAACAATCTTTTAAGTAAATGTGGTATTATTAAGTATAAACTACACAGAAAATCAGGTGTTACAATATACATGTAAAAAAGGATCCTAGACAACTTCTCTTCCATATATTTGCACTGTAAGATTCAAAGCAACATAAAAGATCTGAGGCAAAGGATGAACAAATGAAAATAAGAAGAAATGTTAACTTCATCCCTTAAAATTGTGACTGCTGGCAGCACAGCCCACATCCAGGGCCCCCCCAGCACCCTGAGTGGGGCAGCGGGAAGCCTCACCTGGCCGGCATGGCGCTCGATCTCCTCAGCCCTGCTCTGGTACCAGCCCATCACTTCTTCCACTCCCAGCTGTGTGGTCCGGAACCGCAGCAACTCAGGCTGCGCAGCATAGAGGAACTCACTTTCATCCTGCAGGCTTGGCTCGACAACCATTCTGTGACAGAAGGAACAGTACTGACTCAATTGCTGCAAAACATATATAACTGTGAGAGAAAAAACAAGGACCGAGGGGAACAGCAAGAGGCTACAGGACACACAGCACTCTCACTGGGTGCCCGCCTCAGCCTCCCAGAAGAAGATGCTAAGGCTGGCCCCTACTAACCTGCACTCCAGTTCCTCACACCAGTCTTTAGCTCGGTGTTTACGCTCAAGCCAAGGAATGATCACCAAGGAGTCACCATGACAACTGGAATGTAAAAGAGAATAAACAAGCATTTAAAACTCACATCTCCTAGCTTCACAAGAAATATGGATGTCAAAAAATATCTAACAGCCCTAAGCACCAAGGCTCCCGCTTATGGCACTGACAGCTCACAGTGGTGTGGTGCACAACAGCTTACAGTGACAATGTGTACCTGGGACATACTGTGCTGCTGACCTCCAATCATAAAAGGTTCAAGGAGCAAAATAAACTTTAAAAGAAAAACTGTGGCAAAGAATTCAAAAACTGGTAAGATGTATACCCATTTCATACATTTTTTAAATATTTTCCAACAGCCCATACTGCATGATCCTCACAACAACATGGAGGTTCCCCAGCCCAAACCTCAAGTCCAGGGGAGGGCCATCCAATAGGCTTCCACTGGTCACAGAAATGTGTGTCTGCACCGCACCACACAGTGACCCCTCAGTACATGTAACAACCCCCAAAGAAGACACTGTGCTGAAAAAGTTGTCATTCCAGTTCATTTCTATTAATTTCAGCTTAAACAGCCACATGTGGTCAGCACTACCATCTGGGAGAGCGCAGACCCAGAAGATGGGGTAATAACTGCAAGAGCTGAAATGCATCATGAAAAGATGACCAAGAAATCTGAAAGGGGCAAAGGTGAGCCCTGGGGGAATGGAATTGGGAATGAATTTAAAGGACAGGAAAGGCAAAGCCAGTATGCACAGCAAGGAAACACATCTTTTTGCAAGCTCTGCTGCCTCCAGCATGTGACTTTCTACCTCAAAGGAGGGCCCTTTAGCTCAAACAGCCAGGAATCTGTAAAGACAACTAAATCGTTCTGAACTAAGGACGAAGACAACACATTTAAAAACAAACTTCTATTGCCTTGCTCTTATAGCTCAACAAAACATTTTCTCCCATTTTCCTGAAATTTACCATAGCCCAAGACAAAGGCTTGCACTTTCTCTTATTACCAGGGGCACCAGAAGCCAAGCCCAGGGAGATCAGCTGCGGGAGCTGAGGTTGTGACCCCACACAGCCTGGGGCTCTAAAGAAAAACTGGATAAAAATACACACTTTCCATGCTCTCAACCTGAAACTAAAATTTCTGTTGAGGCCAGAACTTGTGGGGTGTGCTGGGCAGCAGTGGGGACAGGAGCCACGGCCTGGGACGAGTTCTTGGTGACGACAACCAAGTCTTCCACTTGTGAACCCAGAAGCTGTTTCTGCTGGGTCCCTCAAGAGGTACCATTGAAATAATTATGTAGTATGAGCTCTTCAGCCAGATATACTTAGTTGGAAATTATAGTCTACAAAGGTGTAAAGTTTAATTATTTTCACTGAACAGAAAAGGGTAAAAAAAATCTTTATTTACAAAAAAACATTAAAAGCAAGTTCTACCCAAAGGTCTCCTCTGAAAGACTGAGAATAATGTTTTGATGCAATTTTAAGACATAATACAACTTATTCACTCCTGAGTATGCTCCCAGTCCTGTTGCTGCCATTAAGAGATCAACAATGATTACAACAACCCTCTGATCGTTCACTAGGAATCAACTGCACACACAGTGTTCCCCCTTGGTCCTGCCAAGCTACTGCAGTAGCAACACTGCCATGCTCACAATGCAGTGAGAAAACCAGCACCAGTGCAGCTGTCACCCCCACAGTGAACAAATGCTGGACCCCTGACCCAAAGCCACTGGACAGAGTCCTGGGGGAGGGAGCTCGCAACTCAGCCAGCAGGAGCTCTGCCGTGAGGTGGACGGAGGTGACCGCACAGCCCACCCTTATCCCAGCACACCCTCCCTCACACACAGGACTAGCCCTGGACCTGGGCCTAACAGCAAGTGGGCACACGGAGCCTCCCCAACAGCACAGCCAGCCAAGAGCACACACACGCCCTCTACGCACATGTCTAAAGGAGTCACCTAGGGCTGGAGAGATGGCTCAGTGGTCTAAAGCACCTACTTGGAACAAGCTTAGCAAAGCACAGGGACCGCGGTTCAACCCCCCAGCACCACATGCCAGCCAGCCCCGCCCCCTGGTGGGCTGAGCTGGCCACACACACACACACACACACACACACTAAATAAATGTAATAAATAAATAAATAAATTTAAAGGAGTCACCTACACTAAATCTGCATGAAGCTACAGTTTGAATAAAAACAGCTGAATATCATACTGCTCCCCTCATAGCTCCCTCAGACACTGCACACAGTATCGTTTCCCTACAGTTCACAAACTCTCAGCACCCCAGTTCCTAAAAGATCCTCCACTGCACTGCTCCCCGCCAGTCACCTTGGAAGGCAGGGACAGTTTCCAAACCTGAAACATTTACTTATTCATTTATTTACTTATTTACTTATTTATATTTTCATGTATTTGGTACAGGGTCTCACTATGCAGCTTGGACTCATAGTGATCCTCCTGTCTTGGCCTCCCAGTGCTGGGCTTACAGGCATGCGCCACCATGCAGGTTCTCAGTGGTCAGCTTACTGTGCCAGGAGGGCAGGGCCAGCACAGCATGTGGGGCCCAAACCCAAAATATAAGCCCACCTGTATTGTTCTATGTTCCTAGCAACTCAGAAGTAAGCCAGACAAATAGGAAAGGAGCAATGACTAGCTAACTAACCAACCTTTCCATTTTCAAGGGAAAAGAACCACCTAAGAATTAAAAGAGTGAATGCAGTGCCCTAATCTTTCAGCCTACAGTGTAAGGGACATTGCAGCACAATAACCAAATTATGTAGGACGACAATAATCAATTCAAAGTGATTTTTAAAATTTCACGGAAGAAAAACTATCTATAACAGAACTAAGCTATCAAGAAACGTAAGTAAAAAGAAATTCATACCTGTTTACTCAACACCCCCCACAAGGATTCTTTTGAACTAACATGTTAACCTGGAACTTCATTTGCATCTTGAGAATGAAATGGATGGTACTGCCCAGTAGATGAACAATTTCAGAGTGAAGATTTATTCAGATTGCTCTCTCCTGCCTGAACTTCTCAACATAAAAAGATACTCAATAGCCCAAGCCCAGATCAAAACGCTTTGTCTTCAAGAACCTGAGCTCCACCTTCACAACAGAAAATGTTTTCTCATTTCATGGTGATCACTTTTATCCCAAGCCTACTCGATTCTCCCCTCTATATTAGACAACTGTCTAGAACAGAGGAATGCATCTCTCCAACCTATTTTTCTTTCTGTTTTGGACATGCAAATAGTACATCATTTTATTTGAGTCTAGAGGCATAAAAAAATACAAAGAAGAAATGTTTTTAAACATGTTACAAGTAAGTTAGTGTCCTATTACCACTAATTTAAAATTTTATATTTGTTTTGGTTATAAAGTTTTTACTGAGTAAATTAGTAAGAGAACATTTGTTTGTTTGTTTTGTGGTAGCAGGGATCAAACTCAGGCCAGGCAAGCACTTATTCCACTGAGCTATCTCCCCAGCCCTAGTAAGAGAACATTTGAAAATTCATCTTGTAGGACTGCAGAAGATAATTTGGAATAAAAGAAACACACATACTAATTCTTAACTCTTTTATTCTATGACCCATTTTATTTATTTGTTTGTTTGTTTGTTTGTATTTTAGGGAAGGGTCTACAGGGTGTTCAGGGTCTCACTACTGGATCGGACTTGTAATGATCCACCTGTTTACAGTCTCCCAAGAGCTGGGATTAAGAAGACATAAGTAAGCTCCTTAGTGTTGCTGCATGGAATAAACACTAGTGAGTCTACATAACATGATAGATTTTTCATGCACGATGGAGGCATTTTTAAAATAAACTACAAGGGCCGGCCAAATAGCTCAGCGGATTAAAGCACCTGCAAGCAAGCACAAGGGCTAGGGTTCGATCCCCAGGCCTGCCGTGCCGGCCCCACCCCTAGGGCACGCTAAGACAGCAACGGGCATGGTGGTGTACATCTAACCTATTTTTCAATGAAATAAACTATTACAAAGCAATTTAGAAATATTTTAATTTTTAAACCACTCTCATGTGTACTCATGACATAAATTTGACTCAAGTAAAGATTAAAATTCAAAGATCAACATCTGCTCTGCAAGAAACACTAGCTACGACCCTTACAGAGTACAACATTTCAGACTGTCCATAAAACTGCAGAAGAAGGCCAAAGTTGTTCACTTAAGAACTGTTCTCAGGGCCAAGGAGATGGCTCAGTGGAATAAGTGCTTTCCTGGCAAGCACAAGGGCCTGAGTTTGATCCCTGGTTCCATAAAAAAACTGTCCTCTGTTGCTTTTCAAGGAAAAATCAGCACAGTAACTGATATTCTGACCAGAAAGTCAGCTTTGGCTTCAATGAAAAAAATCTTCCCTTTAAAAAATGACAAATTAGGGGAGATAGCTCAGTAGAATAAGCACTTGCCTGGCAAGCACAGGGTCCTGATTTCAATCCCTGATACCACAAAAAATAAATAAATAAAATTAAAAATTAAAATTAAAAAATGCCAAATTAATGTAAGTTATTCACACACCACTAATCTGAAACTAGAAGCACAGCACACAGTGGGCTCCTTCCTATCTTACAACTACAAAGAGCTGAGGTAATGTCTGATCTTTCTAAAGAGAAATTCTCTGAGATTGATTCAAGTGATAAGATACATCAATTGCCCTAATCAAATGTGTTGTACTATATAGTGAAGTTTTGCTTTTCTGGCATAAATTTTCTATTGTTCTAATAACAGTAAAAGTGCTGATGTCTAGCCACTTAGATCCAAGAATTATAAAACAAAGAATAAAAAGGCATGGTCTCCCTCTAGTCCAGTTTAGAAATAGCTTTTGTAGCATGAACAGAAGGAGGCAGGAGAAACCGGTTTTTTGTTTTTTGTTTTATGTATTTAGTACAAGGCAGGCCTACAGGGTCTCACTACACAGATCAGGCTTATAGTGACCCTCCTGTTTTCAGCCACCCAAGCATTGGCATTACAAGCGCGCACCACCACGCCCAGTCTGAAATCGAATATATCAGAAAACCAGCAATTCCTGAACGCAGCAACTGGGCTCATTCCCAAAACCCAAGTGCAGGGGCTGCCCAAAGGTCAGGCATAGTGAGGCACACAGAAAGTGGGCTAGGAAGGAGTGTGAGACCACCTGCCTTCTCAACTCTTGGCAGTGTTTTTAGAGAAGAAAGAGAAAGCCCACGCAGAGGTCTGTCTAGCCTGGGTTCACTCTGCACAGCTGGCCTTGCCTGTGCCTGAGGGAAGGCAGGAACTGAGGTGACCTAATAGACCATGGGTGGTGTGTATAAGTAACAAATCTTCTTTTAAAAAGTATCTTTCAAAGCCAGGCGTGGTGAGGCATGCCTGCAATCTCAGCACTCAGGAGGCTTAAGCAGAAAGGATCTTCGCAAATTCGAGACCAAGCTGGGCTACAAAGTGAGCCTAAAAGCCAGCCTGAACTGCATTATGAGACTTTGTCTCCAAAATAAAAAATAAAAAATAAAAATAAATAAAATAAAATAAATGGGGCCAGGGAGATGGCTCAGTACAATAAGTGCTTCCCTGGCAAGCGCAAGGGTCTGAGTTCAATCCCCGGTTCCGGAAATAAATAAATAAATAAATAAATAAACAAACAAAATAAAAAGTATCTTCCAGATTTTATTTACTCTTTCAGGTTCTTACACTAGGAAGATAGCATGACGTTTACACATGTGGATCTGATTTATTTCACTTATGCGTATGGTCTCTGGTTGCATAATTTACCTATAAAAGCCTTGAGTTTATCCTTTTTTATAGCTGATAATACTCCACTGCACAAAAATATATCTTTTTTATCCATTCCTCAGTTGATGGTCTTTGGGTTTTTTCCAAGATTTAGCTATAACAAATTGTGCTGCTATAAACATGGGTGCACATATATTGCTGTGGTATGAGGTTTTCTATTCCAAAAGGTACAACAGATACTGTAAAAAGGAAAGAAACTATTCAAAGAGAAGGAACAACTGGGATGAAGGAAAGCAAAAAAAAAGAATGAAGGAATATATACATATATTTATATAGTTTAAAGTATATAATATATAGTGTGTGTATATATATATAATATATAAATGTATATGCATGCACAGAATAGCTTGGATAATTACAGTGCTGACTTTTTCTGATCTATTGAAAGAAGCAGTTAATGCTTCAATTTTTTTTCTTTTTCTTTTCCTTTTTTTTTGGCAGAACCGGGGATTGAACTCATGCCCTTGCACTTGCCAAGAATACTGAGCCATCTCCCTGGCCCCAATTTTTTTTTTGTTATTTTTAATTTTTTGACCAATTTCACATGCCTGTATCTGGTAATCGGAACAACTTATCTGAAGAAAACAGTATGCAATATAACAACCTACCATTTTGTTTAGAGAAATTCTGTATCATTTCTTAAGTATCAAGTTCTTTTTTTCTTTTTTTTTTTTAATTTTATTTATTTATGTGTGTGTGTGTGTGTGTGTGTGTGTGGCCAGCTCAGCCCACCAGGGGGCGGGGCTAGCTGGCATGTGGTGCTGGGGGATTGAACCGCGGTCCCTGTGCTTTGCTAAGCTTGTTCTAAGCAGGTGCTTTAGACTACTGAGCCATCTCACCAGCCCCTCTGTATCATTTCTAATTTTTTTCTCTTACTATTTTTTATTCTCTTTTAAAAAAATAAAAGTATCTTTCTCATAACCCAGGTGGGACCAACTGGCAGGCCTAGGTCCCTTCCTCAGCATGAAGTGCCCCAGAACCTGCAGGTAGGGCTTGCCCTCAGTCAGGCAGGATGCGTCCCTGTGACCCCAGGCTGAAGGGCAGCTGTGTGCACAAGGCACAGAACGAGGTCAGGAGAGTACCCTTCCCCTCAGCCAGTGGCGCCACAGGACTTGAAGATGAACACCAAGTGTTCAGAGAACAAGTCTAAAGGGGAACTACTTCTGAAAGTATCTTCCAGTCTGAAATCTGTAAGGAGCCAGGTCTGAACAGCATAAAAGATGGTAGCCGGACTGCCCGGCTACTGGAGCTTGTCCCATGCTGGCAGGGTACTCTCCCCTTGGGACTGCCTTAGCCTCTGAATGCACAGATGGCCTAATACACCAAGCACATACCCTAAGAGCCCCACGCCGCACACCACACGACAGCCCAGGCTCGGGAGGATGGCTCTGTCCACAGTCAGTCTGGGACTAAAGGTAGGAATTCAAGATGGGAACAAGGAGATGGACGGAAATGAAATGATTTACTATATTAACAGGTACAGGGCACCATGGTCAAAGGATCAGCAAATTATAAGAACATAAGAAAAAGAACAGCTACTGGGAGGCCTCGCAGAAGATGCTATTATGCCTAAAGCATTAACTCTGGCTTTGTTTTTCAACAGCCTAAATTATAAGAGGATAGACACATTACCATTAAAGAAAAGGGAAAAATTAAAGAAAAGGGAAAAACTTCATTTTTCTCCATGGATTTAAAGATGAACATAACTTAAAGACTCATATGAAATCAGAGACTTGAAGTTTTTCTCAATGTTGAATCCTGAAACAATGATTTAACAGATTCATCTTGTAACACACTCTGCTGTGAGACAGTATAACTGAAATGCTTATTATAATTTAAACAGCTCCCCAAGGAAGGTACCTGTAGGAACTACAGGGCATCCAAAGACAGCACAGCATAAGACACTGGGAAGCTATTTCCTAACCAATTCTGAAATTTGAGGTTAAAATCCAATGCTCAAGCAATCATCAGAAAACAATAAACATGAATGCATTTTAATCTAAGGAGAAAATATCTTTGAAAAACACTTTGACAGGCAGTAGTAGTCCTTTTCTGTAGACTAGCGATTTAGCTGACAAAGTCATCTCTATTCAAATTAGATCTATTTTGTAAGAAGGCAAAGAACAAGGCAATTTTATTCTGAAACGTTCTTAGAAAATATATTTACATATCACAAGATCTAAAATTATGTGAAAATGAAAAAATTATCTCATAATTTTTGCTTTTATCAGAAAAGGTTTTTTAGTAGTAAAAATAATGCAAAATAAGAAAATATATATGTAGAGAGTACTGACCTACAACACTCAAACATAAGGTCCATGCTGGCTTCACATATATACATTAGCATATTCTAAACCTCTGTAAATCCAGGTTTCTAGAAGAGCAGGGATAACAGAAAATGATTCTGAAACCAGATAAAAATATAAGCCAGATCATGGCAATCACTCTGTGTATATTGTTCAACATCAGCACATAAGCCTAAACCTGTATCAGGTGGGGGAAGCACGCTGAGCGAGGGGGCCGGACGACCCAGCACCTAAGCACATGTGTCTCAGGGCTGGAGCTGGCACAGCGACTTCTCGCACAACTGTCACAAGCTCCTACCAGCTGTTCCATCTCACACTGACCAACTTACCTGCCACTAAGGTATGCAACATGAGTAAGCAAGAGAGGAACTAACTGCCAACTCACTCTAAAGAAGAGCAAACTCAAAGTCAGAAAAGACAAACCACACAATTACTAAGGGGCTACATTCGGCAGGGGCGCACTCGCTGTCCCACAGATGGACGCTGCCACTCTTGTCACCTGCCTCGACTTCCTAACTGGCCTACCTGTAGTATGCTCCACGCGCCTCTCTACTCCCAAGCACCCTTCGGCCCGGGACAAACAGGCTCCACATCTCTCAGTTACGCAAAAGAGAAAATATATTCTCCTTGCTGATGTTCCAGCCTCCAGAAAATTGCAAGGGGAAATACTGGGCCAGGACATCCACATGGCCTGTCACGCGCTGCAGCCCAATCAGCAAGCAGTCTTGAAATGGAACAAAGGGGCACTCGTCCTATAGCAGTAGTGTGTCAACTCTCCAATCTGTCTTTGTGTCTCTGGAATTTCAATCAGAGAAAAGGTTGCTGAGCGCTGCAGCATGCAGACACTCCTGGGTCCCTGTACCATCGGAGCTAGGTGCGATTTCTAAGAGAGACAGCTAGCTCAAACAGACCTCATTCAACTGTTGCCGACCAGAAAACAGTATATGTTGAACATGTAAGAGGAAAATCAGGCTTTTAAAAGAAAATAGGTTTTGTCCATTAAGTTAAAGTGATCCTACTAAACAGGCAAATGTATTTTCACTTCAGTATAATTTTTAAAAATATGTTGAAAATAATTATATTACCAGAGGGAAAAATTAACTACATCACATTTTTCTTTTTTAATTTAAGATATTTGGCATGAAATAAAAACTTTCTGTAACTTCCAAAGAAGGCAAAACTGGGTGAGCGGAGCCACATACCGAGCTTCAGGCAGCAGTGCAGAATACTCATGCGGGGAAGTGGTCTCCGGAAAGTTGGAGAGAATCGCAAGGCGGTGAGGAAGCAGGTCGGAGCCGTGGTACGTAAGCAGGATCTCCAGGGCTCGTACATTACTCTCCTGCATAAGGAGCAATAGGGACCTCAGAAATACAGGGGCAATCCTATGCAACAACACCCAAAACCTACATTTTATGCAGTTTTGACATGGCATACTTTGAAATAGTCCCAACTTTGTCTTCGCTTATATAATTTCAATCTGTTACAAAAGTTATTTATTTTTAAAACTCTAAGTCATGCATAAAATCTCTAAAATTTCCTCCACATTTCTTAGTATGACAACTTAGTACATATAGTACAATGGTACATGGTAATAACATTGACTGCAAAGCTCCAAGAGCATTAATAATCGTAATTGTTCTGTTTACAAAAGAGAAATTACCCGAGCATAAGTTCTTGCTGAGAGAACAATATTCTGCCTCCTGAAGGTCTTAAAGAACTCAGCATCATATCTCTGTTCGGAGACATGAGGCACTCCTAGGATTTCCTAAGGGAAAAGAGAGATTTAATGAAAGACACTTAAATATGGATGACAAGAAAATATTAAAAACCTTTATGATTATGCCTTATAAATAAAGTCCGAGTTAATTAATTTCAATCATCAATTGTTAAGTAAAGTACTACAATTGCATTCTTGCCATCATTTTAAAATGGGCCATATGGATAAGGACTGATTTTTTTTTTAATCCAGAAATAAACGAAATAGGCAATAGAAAATAATTACAATAGGACAACAAACTCCAACCACCTGGTAGAAACAAGTAAGTGCCAGCTATACAAGGTCATACAGCACCTACCACCACTACCTCAGAACTTCAGGTTAATTTTACATAATATCGATTTCTGTAAAAGACAGACTGAGCCACCTGTTCATCCTCCAAATATCTACAGAGTGCCCAGTATGTGTGAGGACACTGTGAAGGTGTTGGCAACTCCCTGAACCACATGTTTTCCCCTGCCTTTCCCTTCCCTCCAAGTACCCTAAAATCCATCAGGGACATGAAACAACTGTTTAAAACAATTTTTAAAAAGAAGAACCTTGAGACCCAGAGCACAGGCCCGGAGAGTGAGTGAGACCACCCAGGGCCGCGGGATCCTGAATAGACCCAGAGCGCAGGCCTCAGTAAGTGAGTGAGACGACTGAGGGCCGCGGGATCCTGAATAGACCCAGAGCGCAGGCCCAGCACGGAATCCTTCAGCAGAACTCCCTGCAAAGAGGCTAGAGGCAAGATCCACCCAGCTGATTCTGGAGCAGAACATCTTGCCAGAAAGACACAAAGGGTTCAACTCTAACGGCTGCAGCAGAAAGAAGTGGAGCACAGCAGCCAGATCCAAGCAACACCCACCTGGAGGAATCTGAACTTCATAGATCCGGACCTGGTGCTAAGGTAATAACTCTATCCAAGGTCTACACCAAAGGTCAGAAGACAGTGGTGTACAAAATGACAAAGAGAAGGAACAAAATGCAGTCTCAGGCCCCGAGTCCACCCAGTACAACTGCAGAAGACACTAGCACTGAGGAAACTGGAAATCACACGCCAGATATCTGTGAAATAATAGTGTTGACAGTGAAGAATCAACTGCAGAAAGGTATAGAAGAAATCAGATCAGAAATAATTTCGAAACTAAAATGTAGTGGTAACTATAATCAAAGAAGTACTAAGTGCTTCTAAAGAATACACTGATAAAAAAAATAGAGGAGAATATAAAAATGATGGAACCCCTGAATAAACAATTTAGGAAAGAAACAGAATCTATGAAACAGGTTCAAAGTGATATACAGGAAATTAAAACCTCAATCACAAGCTGGCAAAACTGTTTGAGGGAAAGTGAAAATAGACTTTCTGACCTGAAAGACACCATTGCAGCTAATGAAAAAGTAAGAAAAGATCCCTTAAAAACAACTAGGATGCATGAAAAAATAATTCAATACCTGCAAGACGATGCAAAGATGAACAATGTGAGACTAACAGGCATCAATGAGAAGGAAGGAGTCAATACAAATGATATAAAAA